TCTTTGGCGGCGTTACAGCTACATTATTTGTGGGGGAGGTCGATGCGCAGGCTGAGGCTGTGGCGCAGAGTGTGGGAGCCGAGGCGATGTTGATGGCGGCGGTGGTGGGTGCAGCTGCGCCACCACCTGCATGCCCGTTGTTTGTGCGTGCAAACTGTGGTTGTGGTTGTGGTTGTGGTTGCTGTTCGCCATTAAATCCATTCTGTTGGTGTTGCTGCTGCGGCTGCGATTGATAGCGACAACATGTCGGCGTATGCTGCGGTGATGTAGCACCGTTTTGCTGGGCTGAAGCAACGGCGGCGGCCAAAGGTGATGAATGTCCTGCAATTTGAAGAAGTAAAAGTTGTATAAAAAATTCAGTACGAACGCTCGAGCGTTAAGCTAGCTGCTACAACAATAATGCCTACCATTTGTCAAATACTTGCTGCTGGCATGATTTATGCTGCCCACCGTCTCCGGTATAGCGGACGCAGTGCCACAGCCACAAACACTGTTGCGGGACTGCGGTTGCTGGTGTGACAGATGTTGTTGCTGCTGTTGTTGTTGTTGTTGTGTTTGACGTTGCGCCCAATGCTGCTGTGCCGGAGGCGCTGTGCCCAACGTTGTTGTAGTCTGTACTGTAGAGGGAAGATGATGTGTGGGGGTGTTGGCTGCATGCTGATGCATGCGACTTGTTGCCGTGGTGGCCATGACGGCAGTTGCGGCAGTTGCGGCGGTGGCGGATGTGGATAATTCTTTCAATTTCAATTCACTAAAATTATTTTCATTCAACGATACTGCGGTGGCCTTTTCTTTGGGCATCGCTGGCATTGTGCTGCACGGCGATAAAATTTGTTGCTGCTGTTGACCGTTTATCTGTAAAAAAAAAAGAGTATAAAATTTTTGTTAAGTGCTGTTTGTTTGTTTTCTTTTTGTCTCCATATGAATTAAAACCAATATAATTTAATAAAAATACGAAAATTATTTTAAGCCTAATAAGTCTCTAAGAACCGATGGGCGGATTAATTTGATATTTATGTAGTTATGTGCATATGTACACACTGTGCCCATATATATGTATGCATGTATGTACATGTGTACGAAAACCAATAAAAAACAAGTAAGAAAGTCTAAGTTCGGGCGGAGCCGAACATTAAAT